GAGTAAGGGGGTAGATTATGGAAAGAGAAGGTGTTAGCACCCTTTCCATCCGTGGTTTTCCACCGGCTCTTAGGTACTTGCTCATTTAAAAAAAAATATTTTTGGTTGTGTGTTTTAAAATATTTTTGTTTGCTTTATGGTAACTCTTGTATTAGTCCTCAAGAGTGTGATAAAGCATTTTTGAAAATAGTTTTTTGAAAAATGTGTAAGTGTGAAAAATTCAGATTCTAGCAAGTACTTAAGAACAGTCTACCTACTCGAAAAAGGATATTTTTTCCTCCTTTCCTTTAGATAGTGCTATCCTACTATTAGTGAGTAGGTAGCCCTGTCTTCGGATGTTGAGGGACAATCGAAGGGACATTTTACAATCACGAAGGCAACTTGTGGAGATGCTTTAGCAATTTTCTTTTAGGGACTAGATCTTTACCGAAAGGAAATTGTAGGGTCATCGAGGGACTATGATCTTTTTTGATTTATGTGTCTTTACTAAAGCGTTCCTGCCTCATGACTGTTTTATTTAAAGGCAACCAAAGTGGAAGATACCTTAGAGGTGCGCAAGTGCAAGTGTGTTGAGATTCAGTTATTTATCTTGCATTATTAAGTTTGTTAACGTTCTAAATTTCAGTCTTATCATGCACGCCTAGTTACTAACAGTTAATATTTACAGAAATTTAAAGTGCGAAAATTTAAATTCTAGGCTATTACAACGCTTTGGGACAATTACATAAAAAGGTGCAAGAAAATAAAATACAGAATTTTAAATCTAGACTATTACATCCCATAATCAGTTACTTTATTTATATAAAATACGAGAATAAAAATAACGCGCGCGAAATAAATATTACGTCTAAAAATCCTAAGAAAAATTCTAAGTAAACAAGAAAAATCTTTTTGGTTTATTTTTATTTATTTCAAGAAAAATAATTAAACTAAATCTAAATTTAATTTAAGAAAATAAATATTGAATAAAATTAACCTAATTCTAATATTTTTGCATTTTTTATTAAGAAAACATTTGAAACATAAATTAAATCCTAAATTCTAGTTCATTTTAAAATAAGAAAGTAGTTAAATTTAATTAATTAATTAATTAAAGCATTTCATTATTTTATTTAAAAAAGAGTCTAAGCCTAATTTTTTTGTGAGTTTTTTTTATTATTTGCTTAATTAAGTAAAGAAGATAAAAGAAATTAAAACATTACAACAAAAAAAATTAGATGGGCCTGAGATAGTAAAAAAAAGTGGGGGTGTGGTTGTTGAATTTGATGGCCCATGAAGGGAGAGGCCTAGATTTGCTTCTGGATCCAATGTGGATTGGTCTTAATGGCACATGGTGAGCCCGCAGATGGAGTGCGCTAGATCTGATCAGATGGACATCTGATGGCACATGTCTGATGGTGTATAATGCACATCTAGCTACGAGGAGCACCAGATCTGCATGAAACAAGTTAGAAAATATAAAAATGGAGCTTACTGAGGCATTTTGTGATGTTTCAGGGCTTGGTAATGATTGCAAAAGCTTCAGGGAGCCTCCAGGAATATATTTGGATCTTTTGTTTGGACTGAGAAAGGCTGGAACCTAAAATGTGAATTTTTATAACTTTGATAATTTTTGCAAAATTTGTAGAGCTTTTCCAGGCTGTATCTCATGTGTCTTGAAGCTTGCTAATGTGTCATTTATATAGAGAGGAGGGAGGAGACAAGAGAACAAAGGTAATAACAACCATAAACATGTGTTTTTAAAGCCATGAATGATGTTTTATAACTTTGCCAAAGACATAAAATCTTGTCCTTTTTGAATTTGAATGAATGTGGACATTGCTTGCACGAAATTTTATGGGCCTAGGCTATCCAAAACATCAACCCAAAGCTCAAAGCCCATTTCTATTTATTTTATACATTTTATTTTATATTTATTTGAAATAAATTAAAATAAATATGAATAAAATAGTTAGCAAAGGCAAGGCATGGAAAGAATAATTTTAGAGGTCCTATATAGGCTTAGGAAGATGTTTGAAGTCCAACAAATTAAGCCATTGACCTAAAACTTCAAGTTTGCTCGATGCATAATTCTTGAAAACTCCCAAATTTTCCCAACTTGAGAAATCAAAAACTTGCTCAATTTTTATCTCATGATAATGATATTGGAAGTTTTGGAAATCCCAATATGTGTACTTCAATCCCTCTTTTGATCCATTTTGCGTTTGAAGATGTTATCTTGATGTTAAAGGTCTTGGCAAAAAGTGGCTTTTGTTGACTTTCTAAAAATGACCTGTAATGTATGAACGTGTATATTTCAAATGGTAATTTTATTGGACTTGAGGGATGAAGAGAAGTTGTAGGTAATTGGATTCTCTTCAAAATTAGCTTTGGTTGGAAAATTTCTGACAAAGTATGAGAAAGTTATGCTTGGTCAAAGTTTGGTTGACTTTTCCTATAGAAACCCTAATTTGCCATTTTTGACTTTTGATGGGTTAGGAGCATTTCTTGAGGAATCATGATCAACCATAGATCGAATGATGGATATCACTTCAAAATGTTGATTTTGACCAAAAATCTTGAAGTTTGACTGTACATGGGCCACAATTGACTTTTGACCTAGCATGGGTTATTTTCCAATACTTGAGCAATTGACTGAGCAAACTTATTGTGCAAGGCATGAAATATGGCATGGATAATCTTGAAGACATATTAGGACCATGAGAAACATTTGAGACCATTGGAGCTCAACCATCTTGATGAAAATTGAAACCCTAGTTGGGGGTTCATTGCCTTAGGAGGAGAATTGTCTTGTCAATTCTTGGTCAACCTTGAGCAATTGAGGACTTCTAGGAATATATCTTGTGTGAAAATGGGAGGGAAAATTTTTGGGTACAACACTCGATACATTTCCTCTAAGCCTCAATGTATTCTCCTAGCTCGGTACATTGCCTCTAAGCCTCAATGTATTCTCCTAGCTCAGTACATTGTCTCTAAGCCTCAATGTACTCTCTAAACTCGATATATTGCCTATAAGCCCCAATGTATTCATAAAACTAGGTACATTTCCTCTAAGCCTCAGTGTACTATTCTCATATAACCCACTGCCTAAGACATCGTGTAGTAGTGTGGTTCCTCGCGATGTAACATAGACCATTGCCTAAGACTTCGGGCAGCAATGTGCTTTATTCTGCAACCCAAACATCGCCTAAGTCGACGTGCAACGATGTTCGAAAAAAACTCAGTACATTACCTCTAAGCCTCAATGTACTCTCTGCAACATAACCCATTGCCTAAGACTTTATGCAGCAATGCATTTCCTTATTCCATGACACAGACCATCGCCTAAGACTTCATGCAGCAATGTTCAAAAACCAAATCTAGTCTATCGCCTCAGACTTCACGCAGCGATTTGCAAACCTAACTCATTGCCTAAGTCTTCATTCAGCACTGTGTTCCCTTATTCCACGACATAAATCATCGCCTCAGACTTCATGCAGTGATGCTCGAAAACCAAAATCTAGCTTATCGCCTCAGACTTCACACAACAATTTGCAAACCTAATCCATTGTCTAAGTCTTCATGCAGCAGTGCGTTCCCTTATTCCGCGACACAGATCATCGCCTCAGACTTCATACATCGATGCTCGAAAAGCAAAATCTAGCTTATCGCCTCAGACTTCACGCAGCGATTTGCGAACCTAATCCATTGCCTAAGTCTTCATGCATCAGTGTGTTCCCTTATTCCGCGACACAGATCATCGCCTCAGACTTCATGCAGCAATGCTCGAAAATCAAAATTTAAGCTTATCGCCTAACACTTCATGCAACAATTTTTGAACCTAACCCGTTACCTAAGACTTCATACATCAATGTGTCTCTTTATTCTGTAACATAGATCATCGCCTCAGACTTCATGCAGCGATGCTCGAAAACTAAAACCTAGCTCATCACCTAAGACGTCATGCAGCGATTCGTGAGCATAACCCATGGCCTCAGTCTTCAAGTAGCCATGCATCACCAATTATTGTTTTATTCATCCTCCAAATGGGTGAATAATCAAAACCAAACCAAGACATACAACATTATTCTCTCAAGCTCAAAACCATCTTCCTCGTCGTCACATCTTAGTAAAGTGATACATCATCATCTTTTCCTACTCTCTTCAAAACTCTTAAGGGTATACTATATCAGTGTAACCTCATTTGGCCAACTCTTAAGGGTATGTTATATCAGCATAACCTCATCTAGCCAACTCTTGGGGGTATGCTATATCAGCGTAACCCATTCTAGCCAGCCCTTAGGGGTATGCTATATCAGTGTAATCCTATCTAGCCAACCTTTGGTCAAATTTTGGGGTCTTCCATTATTTAATAAATCTTCGATTCGAATAAACAAAGACCTATGCATTCTTGCGCCATTCAATCGAAGAATTATTAAATAGGGGCAGCTATCATACCCCAAATTTGTCCGCCTTAGTGCTACCATCAAACTTATTTTTGAATTTGGGTGTTACAGATATAAAATTCCTTTGAGTTAGTTATATTATCATTCTGAGTTTTTTTAATAAAAATTTTCTTTCAAGTCTATTTGAAAATATGATAATTATTTGTATTTTTTGTAAAAAATAGAAAATAATTGTTTGATGTCATATACTTTTAAATAAGTAACATAGCACAGTTGATAAGGAAGAAAGACTAACAAGCAGAAGATCACAGTTCTAGTGAATCATCCGGACCAACCATAAGGAATGATTTCAACAACGTACGAATCAAAGAAAGCGGGTTCGAAAAGAAAAACAACAGTGTGAAGCAATAAACATGCCACATCAATTTAAACTGGGAGCCTAGATCAGAAGAAGGGTGAACAGCCACCACGAGAACAATTGCGCAGCCGTAACCCATTCATGTCGACGACACACTGTCCCTTCACGGATCTGTGCAGCCACCACTCTTCTCATCACCGTGACTCCATCAAACCTCATACTCCTCTCACCGTCAACTTTATCAACATCTCACAGCATCATCCCCAACAAAATTTTCCCTCCTCTGTTCGCAACAGCAACCTTCGAATGCCGAGAACGACCCACACAACCTCAGCCAATCCGCGAATGCAACCTACACCGACGACCTCGACGTTCCACCTTCGACATAGACCTCCCCTCTCCCATCTGCGACCCAGCGCAAACAGCCTATCTCCGATCAAAATCGTTACCATGCTCCTTTCACTTGTGCAGAACCCAGCCGACCACCACCGAGTCTCGATGGAATTCATCCTCGTCACGAAACAACAACCACGGCCATCTCAGGACATTCGATCATGGTTTATTTCTTGTTGTCTCATACTTTGATTGCTTTTATTGTTGTTTTTGTGAATCACAGAAAAATAAAGAGATGGGAATTGTGTTCCATAGGAGAGAAAGAAAGGATGAGGAGTAGATCTAGAAGGATTCGCGTGTAGCAGGCTGTCACTTAATTTTGTTTTTTCTATAAAATAAACCATGCCACGCGTCGGTCTATGGGTGGATGATTAGTGGGGTTTGGAAAATTACTCCTTTATTTTTCTGATCAGAACAGTTCCTGGGACTCATCATTTATTTGTTTCTTTATTTATTTATTTAATTAGCTTAGTCTTTGTTTTTAGTATTTAATTATGTGAAAAGTTAAATTAGATTAGAAATGGGTTGGGTCTCTTAGAATCAATTTTGTTTCTACTATTTTACTAAGTTGCACCTATATCTCACAATACACCCTTTAGTTTCTTTAGTTAGTCTAACTAATTTAGGTTTTAAACTATTATTCTTAAAGGAAAGAGAATCCAACAAATTTATATATAATTCAAAAATTCTCAAATATAATTAATTCAAAACATTTTCGAAAAATAGGATGTCCTTCTTCGAGTAATTGGATCAGTTGACACATTATCTACCAGTTTATTATTTAAAATAAAAATATTAAAATCCGCGCAGCTCACCAAATTCACCATCCGCGAGCGACACGTGGCCAATGTCTGGTCACGTGACGAGGAAGACTATATCAGACTTCCTCTACATCCTTCATATCAAGTGACATATGGTCAATATTTGGCCATGTGGTGATGAAGGCTATATCAGACTTCCTTTGCATCCTTCATAACGAGCAACACGGAGTCAATATCTGACCATGTACGGAGGAGGCTATATCATACTTCCTCGCTCTAAACTCAAGGCATCTAACCAACAATTCAAACGTTTTTCAACTAACATAATCAAAAACTCAAGATTGTTTTCAGAAAAAGGATTAAATAGCATTGTCTTCAAATCAAACTGCAAATTGCATCTACAATCACTCAATTTACAACTGAGACAATGTTCAAGGATAATTCGAAAACAATTCTATGCAATCTTATAAAAAACACCAACCAAACTACGAACTACGAATTGGGACTCTGATTCCTCATAAGAGGATACGTAGGCATACGATCAAAAAACGTGACGAGTTCTCCTAATTAAAATTCAAACCCCTTTTTCCCCTATAAAAATATTTAAAACCTTTCCCCTATAAAAAATTTAAACCTTTTCCCCTAATAAAATTTAAATCCTGTTTCCCCAAATCAAATCTAAAACCTAGTATCCTTATGAACAAGGTAGATGAAAGGTGCCTAACACCTTCCTTTCGTCTAAAGAAGTCCGAAACCTAGAATCTCTGTCTGTGAATTAGGGTTTTCTGTTAGATTCCCTTCCCTAGGATAAAACTAATAGTGGCAGCTCTGATTAAAAATTCAGTTGCTACACATACCATTCTAATAGTCCTGGACCTGATACGAATGACTGTTGGGCATTGAATAACAAGATTCAAGATATGATTGGTGCTAAGGAGATTGAGTTTGACCCTCCTGAGACTCCTAATGTGATCACTTCTCCCATGCCAAATCATGACTAAGATTGAGAGCGTCCAGTTCATTTGAATTTTTAGTTATAATTTATTTTGTTTGTTTGAACACTTATATTTATGCCAAACTTTGTTTATTCCATTAATGTATTGCATATGTTTTGTCTTGAGTTAATCCATTCGTTTTCACTATATTTAAACTGTACTTTTTACTTCCTTTTTGTGATATTCAACTCTCGTTAAAAGTTATAAACCCTTAGAGGGAGGATGACGAAAACGATATCATAATCTCATAAAATATGCTTTTGAACAGACCTTGCTGACGATGTACTGGCATTGCTTCAATTCTTAAACAGTGGAGATATAAGGAAGTTAATCCCTAGTCAACTCCTTTGAGCCTAAGAAGTAGGAGTTTTCTTTTTCACGCAAATTAAAACCCTTAATCATAACTTGGGGCAGGGTAGTTTCTCAGTTAATTCAATTATGCATTCAATTGCAAGCTTTTCCTTCATACACAATAGGTAGTATCGAAGATATCCTTCCAAATCAAAATTCGGTGATGTTTCCCCGTAATCATTAAGTCGGGAAGTTATTATCTTTCAAAAGAAAAGCTCACTAAGTCGAAACCTATGAAGGAGACTTAGGAAAAAGCTGGGGCATCCTACTAACTGTAATCTCAAACAAAATAGTTCAGGAAAAAGTTAGGGATAATAAAGTCAAAAAGAGGTCGCTATAAATCCTCAACAAAAGAAAGATGTTACAAGAAAAAATGATTGTCGTCTCAAATAAACTTTTGGTTTCTGAACCATCACCAAGTTTCAGTGCTATAATTCCAAACTCTATTGGAACCTAAATGCATAATTATTTAAGTATAGGACTGAAGGACATTATGGAGAACAGGTTGGGTACAAATAAACTTTGAGCTTTTATCCTTTGTTTCTTAAATCGTGAACCAGACCACGTTACAACCCTTCAAAGTCCTAACTGAAGCATGGGTTAGTTCGAAAACATACTGTTACAAAAAGGTATCCTGACTCCTGTAAGGCTTACTATAAATCTTGAGTTGATATCACATTCTTACAAATTTTATTTTACTAAAAAATTCATTTTTTAAACTTCAAGAGAGACATAAGCTTTGCATTTTAATACCACTGTTTGCATATGACTAAGTGTTTGACAGCAAAGAAATTTGCCTGACGAATATTCAATGAATGAAAATCCTCCCAATGGACAGAATTACTTCAGATGATGGGTTAAAGAGAAATACACTTCCAGTAACAGGCCTTTCATGGACACAATTGGTTATAAATAAAGGGGCATGACATATTATTGTCCAACTCATCTATGGCAGTCAAGTCAAGATTCAAAGAATCTCTCAAAAGTGCTGAGTAGCTAGGGGCAGATCTCTATCTAAATCACTTGGGGCATGTTACATTGATCATGAGTTTCAGCAAAAGCTACTATAAAAATTGAATCTTCGGTAGCACCAAATTGCTTGTCTATGTCAGCAGTATCAGATGGTGTCATTCTTCCGTGACAATTCTTAGAAAAATACTGAGAAAGATCAAGACTATCAGAAACCTGGTAATCAATGGTTGATCAATAACTTCAAACATCGGGTGCACTAGACTAATCCCAGAGGAAAATGGGCTCCGGCATATGAAGGGCCACGTATGATCAAAAAAATATTTTTTGGAAATGTTACAACAATTACTACCATGGACAGTGAAAATTTATCGTGCCCTATAAACGCGGACATAGTCAAAAATACTACACATGAAAAAGAGACTCTCTAGGTTGATTGGCCTAGGAAAAAATAAGGGCATCACAATGAACCAAAATGGTTCGGGAAAAAATTAAGGACATATAAATAAAACTATACACCCGACAGATCGAAAACCTAAGAAGGCGGCTTGGGCAAAAAAACGGTATCCTGGTGGACTGAAAATCCGAAAAGACATCCAGGAAAAAGTTAGGGATTCAAGCGTACGACTATATCATGTTATCTCATCACTTGTTTATCACTTTGATCATCATTTATAAAAGACTCTAGGAGTTGGGACACTGATTCTTACTAATGCAATAATGCAATTCACATTGATTATTCTTACTAACCAATTACATGCTAATACAGGCCATCTCCATCATTATTATCATGCAATATATCATGCAAAACAATCAATTTATGCATACAACATCATCTTACTCAATTGCATCAATATGCACCACACTTCATACAACATTAACACACAAGGCATAAACCTTCACCAAAATAATCATCATAAGATAGAAAATATCTTATCAAATCAACACCAAAATCCTCATGGTTAATTCCACAACAACAACAATTCATCATTAAAAATAGGATATTTCCAATTAATCTACTACACAAAGCATTTGCATACATTTCACAAAATGACATAACTCGATAGTACAAAACACCCGTCCATGCATAAAATAGTTGGAATTATGGTACTCAAAATACTTTTAATATAAATTACATTAAATCAGTGTTCCAATGATTCGAACTATGCGTCAATCAGATACCCGAAACTCAAGTTATGAATTTTTGAAGTTTTATAAAATTTACCAACACCGACAACCTACAGCAACAGACACTGACACCACAAAACATATTTACACACAAATTAAATTTAGTTCCAGAACTTGAAATTATTTTTAGAAGAAAGTACATTGTATTAGCTTTCCAATGGTTCAAACGACACCAAAAACAGACTCACGGTTTGAAAGTAATGAACTTTTAAAAATTTCATTTTTTTTTTCAATTTACTCTCGGGATAACCGATTATCCAATATGTGGTACCCGGGTACACCCCGTAAAAATGCCCAAAAACACTATTTTTCATGCGGTAACCAGTTACCCATATACTGTAATTGATTCCCACTGTACCAGAGTCAAAAAAACCTGATTTTTTATGTTACGAAAATCATCCTTTTCCAACACAAACCCCCAATTTTTCTATATCAAAATACATAATATAATTTATCACATTGTCATACTACACCTACTATATTCTAACTTAATTCACATCATCAATTTCATCAATTATACACAATTTCAACGGATTAAATAAAAAACAATCTACACCCAAAACCTAACATTCAATATCATTATCTACCCACAATTATACCACCTATTAGAGAGTCGGAACTCCACCCTTACCTTAGGTTGTAGATTCCTCAAGCTTCAACAATGGTTCTTCCCCTCCTAGATCTTCCACTTTCTCGCTAATGTTTTTCTCTCATTTCTACGATCGATCAAAAACAACTACTCATATATTCCTCTTGTTTTTACTTATCTAGCCTTTGGACCCCTAAATCAAAAATCCCAACCTTGTCCTCACTTGTTCAACGCAATGTTACCATCTTTCCCTTCTTGTCTTA